GCTTGGAAGTCGAAAGAATAACGATCGAGTGGCACGGCCAATCGGTGGTAAGAAATACACATACCGGTACTAGTGCATGTACAGTGTACCTATATTTCAAAATGTGGCCTCCTAAGAGACAACACCCGTAGATTTTTACTGTCATAGTTTGGGACAAGCTAGGAATTAAGAAACACCAGTTGTAATGGGTTCAGGGGGAGGGTGCACTGAAACCCCTCTCAGCCCACAAACTACAAATTTTTTCTTGCAGGGTCACACACCATGTGTCTGGAAAGCCATGCCTCTCTGCCCGGTCTGATGTTTAAATCATAAAATGTACGGTCCACAGAACCTCTTACTCGGCTGTTAATTTAGATTTCTTGTTTTTATGTGCCACCTGTGCATAAATTTCTGACTTGGATTCGCATGATATTTCCTGCCCATAGATTAGACAGTCAGCATCTGTCCAGGTGCGTCATGAGGCAGTTGGGACTTGTTAATATTGCACACCTTGATTTGAGCTTGACTTTTCCAACGGGGGCTGTTTATGTTTATGTTGGAACGTGTGCCCAATTTTTGGCTGGCTTTCGTGTGAAATCTGAAACCTGGCGTGGGCGTTCAGATGCTGTGTCGTGAGTGCAATTGCCTTTGTGCGTTTCCGCATCAAGCTCCTGTGTGTGTCCAAAATAACTTGCTCTGACATGCTTGAAAGCTTTTGCTAAATTAATGAGTGCACCACTCGTCCAAGGCATTGGTATGGTGTGGACAGACAGGGCTTTAATTGTCAGCTGCTTCACTTGATTTGGCCAGTCTTTCCAAATCTGTGAAGAGGATTTTGCTGAAGTTGGTGGCTGTAGGCTTTTTACCCGGTAAAGGAATGTCCACATTTCCTGTAAATAAGAAGGGAAAAAAATATGTGCATCAAATGGCCGAATTCCTCAGCGAAAAATACATCTCAGATTCAAACTGTTGAAATGTAAACTAGGTCTTGCGCATCTACATGTAAGGGTAGCAACGACTGAGGGACAGTGTTCAGTGTACAGCTCCAGAAGCACAGCAGAGTTTGAAGGAGCAAATCTGGACAGTGTTTCTTACAGAGGGTTTGTTGCCACTTCCTTCCTTCTCTCCCTGTTTCCCTCTTTCCCCCAATCCCCAGTAACGTGAACCATCAATAACTCCCAACCCCAATCCTCTTGTACACCTCTAGAATTTTGGTTTTGTTTGGCTGTCCATTGATCAAGAGTAATGTGTCTACGGGGAATTTTTTTTTACGGTTCTTTGGCTCTCTGCTTTACTCTTGCATTTTCATCAAGACTTTAGGCAGACAGTGGATCTGAACTTGAAGTATGAGCAAGAATGCTTTATTTGCAACTTGTAAGCCAGGTGGAAAGTACATGATCACTGTACCAGAGATCAGATCTCTATGCTCACACAACATAGTACTTGAGCAGTAATTCAGAGGACTCCATCTAAGTTCAAACCCCTATGCCAGTCAGATTTTCTTTACTCTGTAGGATCTTCATGTTCGGACACATACTGTACATTGAATAGCGCATCTGTGCTGAGACCCAGGTGTGGCTACTCTCGGATGACACCCGCAGTTATTTTAAGGTTAATTGATTTGCGGCTATTTTCCTGAAGTTTTGAACCCTGTACCGGAGAAGAGAGCCATGCATACAGATAACGCTGTGCTCCGTCCGTCAGTTTGCCTCAAATCTGCCCCTGTGCATCTTATTGCACCGTCGCTAAGAGTGATTAATTAACTGAGATGCACTGTCCATTAGTGGTAACGCATCCAACCTGAATGGTTAAAATTTAACTCTTGCACATTTTTGTACTTTCTTTCTGGTTTTTTTTTTGGGGGGGGGACGGATCCACAATTTCTCTAATTGTGTGACAGTAGACATGCAATCAATTTATGACTGCACGCATAGCACTCCTGGATATTACATATATCTACCATGCCATCAGTGAAGTAGGCCCAATTCATCTACCCAAACACTTTTTAAAATACCAATCACAGCACACACATGTACATGTACATGTATAGGACTTTTATATTTTATAATGTGACCCTGCAGCATTTACTATTATAATAATAATAATAACAACAAAATTTACCAAAAATGGGTCATTTGGGAGATATTCCCATAGGAACGTGCACAAACTTTACTAGCCCATAATTAAATATTCCCTAATCTGATCTGAACCAAACTTTGTATGTTTTCAATTTATACCCAAATCTATCATTTCTTAAAATCTTAAAATTCGGCCTCCTTCTGGCAGTTGGAGCATTTGGGAGACATTAAAATGTCTCAATAATGACCCATTTGTAAGAATAATGATAATATTGATAATAATTAAAAATTTATAATGCGCCATTTCCATGAAAATGATCAATGGCCCAGTCCAAGTCGACATTACAAAAAAATTTAACTTAATTAAATTAATTTCAGACATGTGAGACCATAGGCTAGAAAAAGTAAATTTACGTGTAAAGCTTTTAAAATAATGCTGTAGACATTTCTGGAACACATTTACCAAGGAATTTTTCATAATGTTTTACATAGTTTTGGGGCGATTTCCTCTAAGGATGTAATGAGTTGAACTGGTTGAAGCTTATGTCTTTTTTCCCCCGTTTTGTTCCAGCCTGAAAGGCATTAATTACTTCTGACCTCGCTCTTGTACGTGAAGGTCACATTTACATGCACATAATTTTCATGAATTTTCGAAAATACACCTGAACAAGAAAAAATTCAAATTTTCTTCTAATAATCGAACATTTTTTTCTGCTGCCAACCAGTACAATTGTCAAATGAGAAATTTGTCCTTTCTTTTGTTCTGCCTGGAATTTTCCTCTCTTTTTCATACCGATAAGCCTTCTTAATTGCCTCGCATTACTCTAGACATTGATCTCAAGGACAGTTTTATTTGTCAATCTCTCTCTCTGCACACGTTAAGCACAGGTACATGTAGATATTCCCATATTATCAACATACATACACGTACACGTACTTACGTGTAACTCGTACCAGCAAATTTCTACCCTTTGAATGTACAGGTATTCGCCGACTGGCACATGTACAGTTGTGAGTAAACCAAGTTTACATGGTCTTAAAACAACAGGTGTGTTAAGGCAATGGTTAAGGCAAGCAGCATTCCCATGGCATCTACCCCATACATGTATGGAACATGTACACTTCAGAGGCCACTTAATCAAGAACTAAAAGCCATTCAGTCATCAGAATGTGCATACCGTATAAGCAGTATGTGCGTGCTCCTCAACTGAAATTGTCTTGTGAAAAGATGCATTTCTTTCATTGAGATTCAGAGTTGTTCTCAGGAAGGTTCAGAATTTCTACAGATCGATATCGCACACTGGTACATGTACCTGTGTGTGTTCACAAATGTACATGTAGCAACCACAAATAAAAATTGCCACAGGACTTGCCCTAAAGATTTATGCACTTGTACGGTGTCAGTACAATGTACATTATGCAGCCAGCTTCAGTTTAGCAGTGTTTAATGTACATGGTACAAATGTACATGTGCTTGTGAAGGTCATACTTCAGTTTACAAGTCACAGAATTCAACAGGCTAGCATTTTGTAGGCTGTTAAAAGGTAAATTTATCCCCTTGTTAATTATCCAGGAAGCTTCAGTATCATCAACCCTCCCCCCCACCACCACCACCCTCCAAGGTAGCCTGTCACAGCTCAGGAACATCTGGAGCACAGGGCGGGTAAACATGGCAACCTTGATGTGCGCTGAACTGGAAATCTTCATTTCACTGATATGTTGCCACGGCAACCCATCCATCCCTCCTCTTGTCCCAATTCTGGCCTTGCTCTTCCGGTTTTGGAGTGATGGGTTATCGTTGTTGTCGTGACTGGAAATCGTTTCAGGAAAGGCAGAGGGGATGTTTAGTTTAAGCAAAATGAAATGACCCAGTCAATTTCTAGTTCCCACAACTACAGAAAGCCCAAGTTTAAAGTGTTCACTTGTGCAGTGTACCTGTCAATCGTCAGTAGTTACAAACTGCCAAGAAATATCGATTTTTCACATCTGAATTTTTAATTTTGATCCTCATTTATGCTGTCTGTGTACATGTAACGTACACTTGATGCACATTGATACCATATTCATACATCTCCATGCAAAATGTACATGTACGTACCTAGTACAGTGTACATTAATGTACATGTACTCTATGCAGACTGGCGCTTGTACAGTGTGAGTGTTGTACATGTACACAGAAGTAATTTAAAAATGGTTGTGTTTTGTCCTCGCTCTTAACGAATAATAATTTATCTATACATGTACATGTAGTTTGTAAAGACTCCTTAATATTTAAGGAAATTGATCGAAATGCGAATTATCTTGTATTGTATTAGGCAAATACTGGTAGGCAGTCTTTAATAACGTACATACCGTTCATGTACATGTACATACATGTATCGAGGCAGTGAATTGTACATATTTGAACAGTGTTTTTGCGGTGACATTGCAACTCGTGGATATGATTTGTTTACTGTGAATTTTTTATATGTACGAAAAAGAAAACCTCTAATATCTGATTAGCTGAAGTTCGTGGATGTTTTTTTCAAACCTTTTTATTTTCACCCTTTTTTTTTCATAAGTAGACACTATTTTGCCCCTGCTAAAGAAATTATTTTCAGTGTAAACATATTAGCTGCAGGAGTTTTGCCACGGGCACCACTAGCCTCAGACGGATTGCCTCTTTTCTCACTTGGACTCTTCTCTGCCTGAAAAGAATAAGAAAATCCTGTCAATAAACCAGTGAAAGACTATCCGTTTGTAGCGCCCCCTGTTCTTCCATAAAGGTTTTAGGTTTCAGGGCTGACTGTTGTTTTTTTTTCTGCATGGAATCGCTCTTTATCAAGAGTTGCCTTTGCCAACTGTTTTTTTTTTTATATGTATATATTTTTTTAATCAGGTGCCGAAATGCGATACAAGGAAATTGCATGGGTTTTTAAATTCTTTTTCTTTTATGTGCCGAAGTCTGTTCCAATGAAGCAAAATCTTCCTCGGTTCATCCATTTGCAAGTTCTCAGAGTCAGCAACATACTGGTATGTTCTTCTGGTTTATGTCTTATATTTTTAGCAAAATTTATTTCTGTAGGCATAAAAATTTAAGTATCTTAAAATTTAAGTAATTTCTGTAAGTTTAAAAATTGCTCGATTAAAAATATGTTTTCTAGTTTCTAGTACACGTACATGTACAGGTACATGCATGTACAATATAAAACCTTACACACTCTTATAGTCTTACATGTGCATGTACATGTAGGCTAGTCCTTATTTTAAATGTATTCCGGTTAGTTTACATTCCTGTTACGCACGCTGTTTCAAAATGGTTTTCATTTTTCACTGGGTTGGACTGGGTGCTATCACTTATTAATGAAGTCAGAGATGTACGTGTAGCATGAAACCTATCGTACAGTACATTATCGATTCAGTCCACTTCGTGTGACGCATTCAAGATGCACATTGACTGGTACATGTATGCTCGTGGACATGCAGTGTAAAATACATGTACATGTAGGTCTAATGTCCAACAGTTATGCTAGAATAGTGGGCGGCGTGGATTGAATAGCTATGATTGAAAAGCCAAGTTTTCCCCTGGTTCCATTCAGCTGGGTCTTTGCTGTAAGAGGCTGGTGCCTGTTAAAGCATGTGCAGCGTCTGGCACCCGACCTCACCTACCCCCCTCCCCTCCCACGGTACGGTGTTTGAATGCGATGATTTCATCAGACCAGGCTTGTTGCTCGTGATGCTAATTTCAAACAGGTCCAGTCTTTAATTCTGGTGCAGTGATGTGCTGAAAATCAGTTTTGGGAATGTGGGAGGGGAGGCCTTCCATTTTATCCCCATTATTTGAGGCTGTGACTGTAGGATAATCAGATACAAATGTTACATGCCCTGTGTATGTACATGTTTATCTGTACACGTTTTTTTTAATGGCTTTAAAGTTGCAATACACTGTATTACCAATTGTAGATTTTACAGTACTGGTACATGCATGTTTTTTATGTACTGGTATCTTCATTGATAAGATGTAAGCTTGTGTGTCAATATGTAAACCTATTTCAAAATTCCCTTTGCCATTATTAAACGAGTAATATTTTGACTTACATGTAGATTTTCTTGTGAGTGGATCACTACAGATATGGGAAATAACTCTTCAAAAACTGGACTTATAGGTACAGGTACATGTATGTACCGTATGTGTTGACCAAAGCTTCAAGAATTACTGTCAGTTTTTCACCTTGGCCAAAGCTCCCTGCTGAATTCAGGATAACCTCAAATCTGGACACTTTCCCCTTCTGGATTACCTTCACTCATTTGCAGCTGAGCCACTGCCATTAACCTTAACTACATGTAGACTGCTGTAAAAATTAACCTTAACTAGACTGCTGTGAAAAGATATTTATATATTTTTACCAGCCTGCGCTGACCCGTAAGCCAATTTGCACTAGGCTTATGAAAGGATTGCCGGCAGATTCTTTTCGCCTTTGATGTACTAGAAAACATGTAGAGCAGTTTTTTTTTTCTTTCCTGACACCCTGATGACAATCTACAAATCAGTACAAGTCCTCATACTTGTAGCTGTGAGTGTAATCATGGATGAAACTCAGGGTTATATGATCATGACACAAATTCCCCACAATGTATGTCAAGGTGGGACTTGTTGGGTGACTCTCGCTCCTCTTCTGTGCAACCCCCCCCCATTGTAATCCAGCATCCCACTCTCTGTCAGATCTGAATTTAAGGCAAATACAGTGTGCATACATTTTGTACTGATAGACACAACTCCTAACAACTCAGGTGGTTGCAAAAAAAAATTTACATTTCTTCCTAAAGGTTTCTTTGGTTTGGAATAAAATGCCAAACCATGACAGTTTTTTGTTTTTCTCTCTTCCTTGAAGGGTGTTAATCACTAAAAAGATGTCAGTACACGCATTCCTAGTTTCTGAAGCCGATTCATTTGTACATGGAGCTTTTAAAAGGAGCTCTGTGATTTGTAGACTCTGTGCCATTGTGGCCCTGACTGCAAACAGCTGTGCGAAACACCTTGACATCAGCCAGGTATTACTTATCTGACCCTGGGAATTCCAGGTAGCACTTTTAATCCCAGGGTCCTCAATATCACTGTCCAATGAGTACATATTGCATCAAGTCATCGTTTGTGCCATTAATATTTGTCGTAGCTCTGGCTAGATGCAGAAATTTGAGTCAATTTTGCCCTCCTTTGTTTTCCCCTTTCAGCTCAAGAACTAGCAAATTAGTTTAGTTCAAGAAGGCTCTGTCTCGTACAGTCAGAATGAATACATTGACTGGGCTTCCGATACAAAATTTTGTAGCATAGCAACAAATTGCAAAACAGCTGATCTCGCGTTAACAACTTTGCCAGATTCGGTTTTATTGTTTTGTTGTTTATGTGTACTGTGTGTCTTTGTGGCAAAAATCACTGTCTGCAGTGCTTGTACATTGTACCCGTGTGCACGTGATTAACAGTACAGGGGGATTTAAATAAAAACTAAAGAAAGTGTGGAAATCGGTGGAATTTCTTACCACTCAGTGACACAAAAAAATCATACATGCTCATATAGAATATAAATTACATGGTCCTCTTCACTTGTACAGAAATATGGAGGTAGCTTTTCATGTTCATGAAATATGTTGTGCAGTCCCCAGTCAATCAAGCACTTGTAAGCATTGAAACCCTGTGTGTACTCACAGCTTTTGCCGGTTTGCTTGACCATTCCTGCAGATTGCCTGGTACTACAGTGTAGGCTGCCGCACTGCGTACATTAAAATTAAACAAACTGTACCCTCTTTCTCCAAGAGGCTGTAAAATACCAATACTTGGACCTTATAAAGAGTTGGCCATATTGAAATTGAAAGTGAGGTTAACTCTTTATTTTGGAAAGTTGAAAGCATCATGGTGAAAGAATAAAGTGAAATTTTCTGTCAATTAGTACCTGTCAACTTTGATAAATAATTTTGGATTTGTGATAAACCAGATTTAGAAAAAAATGAAAGGGAAGCTTGGAATCCACGTGCATGAATTCTAAAATAATTCTGGTGTCATCCCATCCAACAGTTAACAATTTGTAACTCAGATCTGTTAAACAAGATCAAAAAAGGGCTTCCTCGGGAATACCATTAGTTGAGCTTTCTTTTCAGCGGTGCCGTTTTGGAAGTTGCAAAGAAAATTTTGTGAAACTGTGCGGCACCAACCATTTTTGGTCAGATATAGGGTATTCAATATGGCTAATGGGTACGGCACACGTTTGTGCATTGATAAACCGAAAATGCTCAACTTAAACGCAATGGTGCAGTTATATGTTCAAGTTGACATGCATCAGTGTCTGCTTATTACTGACGGTAGGCATTTACGTTATGTCAGAATTAATTATCTCATTCTGTGTAACGCCAAATGCATCTGCTGATAAAAATTTGCTGGTACTTCTGGCCCATCAATTTGTAATTGGTTTATTTAAGAGAGGATTTAAAACATAGCATCTTTTAGGTCTAGAGTCTCCTGCTGGTATCTCCAGTATGTGGAGATACGTGTAAATATAAGGAGGGAAAAGTGTGAAAATTGAGGCAGGGTTCATGCATTTATAAGCTAACCCTAAAGTACTGCAGAGTGTCATTGTTCCCAGAATGGATGTTAGTCATCTGGCATGCATGCATCTTACAGCGGTGACGAGGAACATGGGCACATTCTCAAATTATAAATTGACAACAGAAAGCCTGCAGTAGTGCCATAGCGTGTCATTTATATTCGCAAAGACCTCATCATACTGTGCAGTATCCTGGTTACCTGGCACAAACTGCGAGCACAGAGGGAGTCTTTGGTCTGCTCGGTGTCTGCACAACGTCATGTAGTTCTAGACAAACGTTAAACCAAATCCAATGTAGGAGAATTCTTTGCAGGTTGTAAAATATGCATTTTTGGGCGAGTGTTAGGCTGTGTCCGCTAGCTCTGTAGATGATGCCGTGATGTTTCACTAGACATTTTCGTTGCAAAAAGTTTTGTGCCCAGTTCTGTACAAAGTACATGTAAGTGTCATTGAACAGTTATTCTGCACAATTGTTATCATAATGCTTACTGCCACTAGTGGGGGCCGTGCCATCTGCATACATTTCCAGAAGTTCACCGATTTGATTGCCCCCGTCACCTTTTTGTTTTAATTTCTTTTCTAAAGCTCTAATTTGTAAACTTTCCACATACTGTGCCAGTCTGATCCCGGGCTATAATTTGCATGCATGTGAGGAAACTGCTACATGTGTAGTGGGCAAGTTTGAGAAACAGCCAGTTGTTGACCACTTGTCCATTTTCGCTGGTAACCTTTGCACAACTTCTTCCTGGGTACCAGGCAAATTGACCCATGTGTTGACAAATGGTCATTGCCCTAATTTGCCTGATGTATTAGTATACACGTACATATGTACCATATGTACACACCTACATGTACATGTACTTGCAACCCTTTAAACAGAAAAACAGTATTTGGTAGCCATTGGCTCCTAATGGGAAAAATCTAGGCACCAGCACTTTTAGGAAAATTTAGTAATCACATGTGCTGAATATTCATGAACATACGTACACACATGTAGTATACTATAAATACCCTGCGTTTACATCATCCATCCATGCCGAAGAATCATGACCTGGACCGGCACACGTCCACCACACAACTTGCATACAAGCGCCAATGAGGTAAATCCACGAAATCAGGGTTTTCGCCAAGGGTTCAGCCACGGACATGTAGTTTTTAAGCTATCTTAAGTCGCAAATGGCGACTGGATGGTGAAAATTTGATCGAATTAGCAAAATTGTGGTCGCATTTGCGACTGATTTAGGCACTATTTAAAGCGTTGTGTACATGTAGCATCAAATGCATACCGTACATATCCGTGTACATGCATCAGAAATCTGCAAGCCAGCAAAGCTCTGTGGGCAACAACTGATGGGCTCTTGTATCTGTCAACAATTTCACCCTGTTCAACATAATCCAACAGTGGACAGGTTTTGATGGACTAAGCTGGATTCTGTTGGATTCAGTGGGATTTCACACATTGCTGTCTGTTTGATTGGCAGCCAGCAGCCTAGATAATAACTTTAAAGAGAATAGAAAAAAAATTTTTTTGAAAAGGACTCTTCATGTACATTAATGTTCGAGTTTGAATGGACTTTAAAACTGAACTAGGATTTTTAAAATACATGTACATGTACCGGTACACGTGCATTGTTTATTAACCTATTAACCCTACACACACTTGCGAGTGTAGCAGGGGCAGATTTAACTTTCTTATTTGAAGTGTGCCATTTTTCCTGTTACACAACCATTAACTTGCAACCATGTTTTACTGCCGATACCCACGCACATGTATACGTTATACCTGTGCGTGTATAATTTGTACAAGTGGTAGTCTTTTTACCGATGCTGGCTTCTCAACGTGTGTTCACATCTTGTTTACCAATTGGGTTTTACAGCTCACTGACTAATTTCCAGCTGACTGAATCAGCCTCAGCTATCTCCGTCATTGTACGCACTGCTGGAGATATTTTCCAGATGCTCTGTGGTTTCCTACTTCTTTTTTTTCCCAAAGTCTAAGAACTCAAACTTGAGTATACGTGCGAAATGAAAGGAAACTAGCCCTCATGTAGCCTCTCCTTCCTGTTGATGCACTCTTTGAAAAAAACAATGACATGTTGTCTATTTCCGGCACTGACTTTCTTTGGACATTTCCATTCAAGAGTTGGAGCTGACTTATGCTCAATACATGTACTTGCTAAAACAGTTACCACCTACATGTACATTTATGGCAACCTTCCATACTTAAATTTTTGCCCGTGGAGTTTTCTTCTTTTTTTGTGGGAGGAGTGTCATTTTTTCATGGAACCTGTTGGAAAGATGAATTTGTTCCTAGCAAAGGATTGATGTCTTAAAAGACCAGATTGAGTATCTGCTCCGAGCGGAACCAAAGAGGGCGTGCTTTTTTTGGTATTCACTGCATAGACGCGCGATCGTTAGGCACGCGAGTATATGCGCGTTTGACACAGGGCACGCTGAGTATGCGTAATTAATTTATTCCGGCATGTATGGTCTTTACGTACACGCAGAATATGTGCAAGAACTCGCTTGTAACCAGCTGTCTTTCTTTTGCCAATTGGGGGAGCACTTCAGCTCAGGGCAGATAGGAAGATGGCTGTTATTTGCATGTCTCACAGGGTGACATGTAGACTAAATTCAATCCATTAGATCACATCAGTCTGGAAGTCTCGGAGTCAATCTTTTGGTTTTGCGGTTGAAGTTTCTGGTGAAAGTGCGTCAGTCACGCTTCTGTGGTCAAAGTGATATACATGTATATTGCCCTGATGTACTGTATCTTGGGCTGTTATCGGCAACTCACTGTGGATATGTGCATGCTATTTTCATATCTGCTCGAGACAGCTGTCAGTGTCACAAACAAGCACTGCCTTGATTGCAGGGGATCTGGGCCGAAGCCGTATTGTGACAGCCTCCAAATTTGGCTTGTTTTTGACGTGTCACCGATGCATAAGTAATGGCATCATCCGTCATGTTTTTGCTCCAGTTGGCAACACTGTTAAGGTTGCATGTATGGGCAGTTGGTGTGCAGACTCAATTCTGAGCAAGGAATCTGAATCTTTGCAATGCCTCTCCGAGGAATCAACTTGCTGCTTTAAGATCTGATTTCAGTTTCCCTGAGATTCAATTCCTGACAGTTCAGAGCAGATTTTCTGTTGTAAAATGATCACATTTTGAGGAAAGTCATCACTCTTTGTAATATCTTTGCATGAATTTGTTGATTCACCAGTACCACAGTTTCTGTACATGTACCGTATGTACATGTATGTACATGTAGTTATGTACTTCAAGTTCTATTTGCTGAGGTGTTGCCCATTGCTTTTCATAGGAAAATCTGCCCTTGATTTTTGGTACTGAGTGGAATCCCAAGTTCTTAACAAAAATCAGAATGGATTGAAATGCCCACACCAGCGTACAGGAACACTTGTAGCAGGGTTTCACTTCACAGTCACACCCCCATAGAAGCAAACCAGCGGAGAAACAAATTTGAAGTCAACACCAACCCCCGCACCCCTTGTGTTCCAGATTGTTGTTCAGTTGACCTCGTCGCTGTACTCCCCCCCCCCCAATCGTGCCCTGGCCTAATGCTCGGCTCTCCTTCCAGTGCCCGTTGCCAGCCGATGTATGACAACCTCGTTACAGCACGGTGAGAGCCGAGCGTGGCGACACATGAATGCACTCAGCCTTGTCCAACAAGTTGTTTGTGTAAGCCTGATGAATAAGACCATCAAGATGTGCACCTCGGTCCCTAAACATTTGCTTGCCCTCCTTTTTTTTCCCCCGTAGTTATGATACATGTATATCGGTGTTGTCTTTATTAGTAGGGTACTCATGATTGTAGGCCCTGATTTTCCATGAACACCAAGTGTTCTGTCAGGCTATCAATATCTGAACATTTACGGGTACGTAGATAGATGTGCTGACTCTGGTCTGCGCTGAACTCAACTTGTCCAGAATTCTCTTTCAGATGTAGTGTGGCTATGAACAGCGGATGGTTATGCATAATGCAATACAGCTTCTTTGAGGAGGTGCTGCTGGCATTGGCTGTCCTAGATTCACTCTGCAGTCTTTGTTACAGTGACAAGTCCGTAAAATGCAGCCAGGAAATCTGTGAACAGAGGATGAAATCAGATACGTGCACTCCCAGTGCTCTGCCATTTGTCACGGTCATTTGATGAATTGTCGGGTTTGAGAGTGTCCTCCTGTTTTGTCAGGACATGAAGGTTACAAGCGGTTGAAAACTGGCCCACAACCCTAATGTACTCTGTGGTATGATGTGTGCGGTTGGTTCGGGGAATATTCGACTCACCAGTGCATATCTTCTTGCCGCCAAAAAGGCGTGAATCAATCAGCAGTTGCTGGCTGCCGGTGACGTGGGAGACTTCTTTTTTTATACTCACAGATGGATGCATGACACCCAAGGTGGACCAGTGAGTACCAGTGCATTTCCACGTTCACCCTTTTGAGCATCTTGTCTCTACATGTACATGTAGTTGAATGACTGTTTAATCATCTTGGATGCAATGTCTCAAGCAGCCTTTATCAGAGCATTGCAATGCACGTACGGTAGGTGGAATTTCCATGACGTCATGTTGATGGTGAGCTGAGTGTACAGCTCATCCACGTGTACAGCTGGTGTATGCGTGGATGCATGTGTTTAAGTGCCACTCAAAATTAACTTGAGTCTCGTATCTGAACATGTCATGTTCTCGAGGTTAGATTTTTCTCGTACTTATTTCAACTGTACTCACTGAATGTCGCACCAATCTGCAATATATTAGGTACTTATGCACTGTCGGTCTCTTTCTATTCAGTGCACAGTGTACATGCATTAACAGTATGTCGTGTGTTCTTGCTCATGACCAAAACCACCGACTTCCTGTGACCAACTTTTTCCGATTATTCTAATAAGGCATAATGCCTGAACTGAGGACTCATCACCCTAATCATCTGACAGTGTTGAGAAGAAGCAACATGCACTCAATTTATCCCCGCTCTAGAGGGGACATTTGGTCTAAGCACAGGATGCCAACATTTTAAAAGTGCGATCCATCACCTGCAACAACTATCATTGTTATTTTGAGGAGAATGCCTTGAACAAAAATAGATCTTCAAATTATATTGGAGAGATTATGGAGTTCTCAGCGCTGGCTCCTGATTATCTTATCAGATCAAGGAGGGGGAAGAACGTCGTCAGAGCATGTCTTCCAGTGAAAGAGCCCCTAAATGGAAAATCATTGCTCATGGTCATTTGTGACGTCTTTAGGAAGAATAAAGGGCTGTTTTGAAGTAAATCTGATGTCTGTACAATGTGGCAAAGCACAGATAACCATCCTGTTTTACGGGAACAAACCTCTGTTGCTTCTGAAGGTTTGTCAGGCGAGGGAGGTATGGTGAGAGTACCAAATGTATTCTGGCTTTCAAAAGCGAGCAGATGTGAAACTGGATTTAATGAAAAGCTGTGAGTAGATTTGTTTTGAAAGTGGGAAATATTGTGACAGCATGGTGGGCTTCTCAGGGATAGGATGTAAGATGAAAGGTGATCTACGTGTATTTTAAGTTTTGTGTGGTTGACGGTTTTCTTTACAGGTGTGACAATGCCAGTCTGTGTACAGTGAGTTTGATGTGGTGGCATCTCAAGTCCGCAAGGCCTGATGCACGATGCGTGGTGAAGCCCCCGAGGCCTGCATGCTGACCACCATGCCCGACTGTGACGGGTCCAACAGTTCGCGTTCCACGGCGCCGCTGTCCGTGGCGCGCATGTCCCGTAGCTCCCGCAGCTCCAGTTCACCCGAGCTGCGCTACACTTCCCTGGAGACCTCCCCCGCACCCACTCTGCTTGCCGAAGGCGGGGCTGACCCCTTGTCCCGCCCAGCTGATGCCCACGGCAGCATCCAGTCGGACCTGCAGCGGCTGCCTGGCCCTGCCCAGCCCGTCCGGAAGCTCTCCAGTGTGCCCAACAAGCCCAAGTACGATCTCCAATGTTGTACACTGCCGGTGTGCCTTGTGACTCTGCAGCTTTTGCTGGGCTTCACCATCATGGTGTTTGGAGTCACAATGTTGCTGATGACGCCTTCAGTCAAAACCAGAGATGCCCCTTACTGGGCTGGTCTTGTGGTGAGTAACACTCTTATCATTTTGCTCTTAAACTCACAGATTTTTCAAACTCCAAGATTTTTAAAATGAGGATGCCAGTTTTTAGGCAAAAGCCAGGATTTTAGGCTTTTTCATTTAAGGTGTTGTGCTAATTTAAGGCTTTAACAAGATACACCTGTTTGTGTACATGTATGGATATTTTGGCTTCTCTGGTTTCACTTTCAGACTCTGGACAAGAACCTGATTAGCGTCCCTGTTAGAATTTTAGAATGTTGAGCTCCACCCCATAGTTATTTCTTTCAACAGGGGCCAATTTCATAGAGCTGCTTAAGCGCAAAAGTTGCTTAAGCATGAAAAAACCTTGCTTAAAAAACAAAGGTCACCAGCTCAAACTCTATCTGATTGTCATGCTAACCAAAAGACAGGTAAATACAGTCCCAAAACAATATACATCACATGGAGTTTTGGCTGGCTTCCTGATTTATCAAGCAAGCTTTTTTCACACTTAAGCAAATTTTGTGCTTAAGCAGCTCTATGAAATGGGCTCCAGGGTTGATGTCCCTCAACAGTACAAACAGGATTTTGGAGGATTCTGGAAGATTTTTATTAAAATTTATGAGAGATACTGGGAGCCTGAATAAAAAAGTGGATTATAACACAGTGTAGTTTTGATTTATTCTGACTCTCATGAATTTAATTTGAAATTTAATTAAGCTTGTTTTAATTGTTACCTGTCCTTGTGCAGGATTTGATTATTTCTTTTTTTAGAGAGATATATTTTGGAACAGAGCTCCATGGATGCCCAAACTGTTGGTTGAACTGTCCGATTTTGTTTAATACAGTACTCAAGGCATTTTTCAGTAACCTACTGGGTTTGTCACTGGAATCATAAAAATTCAATGTCTGTTTCTGTTGAACAGAAAAATGCCAAACATCGTGTGAAAGGTGATGTCAGTAATGTGAACACGCTGTATACCAGCATGTACATATACATGTATTTTCTTCTGAAGAAAATACTTAATGCTTGAAAAAGGTGTTCAAATATATGTTAACTGCAGGTTACATTGCTCGGTCAATTTGTACAGTTCCTCCAGCGAGATTGATGACAAAACTTCTTTATAGAGGAAAAAAAAAAGAAAACTCTGTGGTGTACGTGTTCACCTTCTGCCTCAAAGTGCCACATTGAAAACGTGACTCGCTTGAAGTTTCTCCAACTGTTCCGTCGTCTGTTGCTAGGGAGATGTACTCTTCATGCAGATTCTCCCCCACTGCCCTCATCATCAGCCAATATAGTAATTGCACCTAATCACAAGATTTGCTCCCAGATTGCTGGGTAAACATTCCATTCCCCAGCCTTGTATCTGCACACTGCAAGCTGCCTGCTACCCCTGCGTGTGGGCTCATGTTCGTGTAGATGAGAGGCAGGCATGCTTAGAATTTCTTGTGCGTCTTGTCTTTGCAGTCACAAGTCTGTGCTTGCTCCATCTGCACGTATCATTTCAGTATTAGTGACTTGTGACACGCCAGAGGTTCAGTTGTCAGAAGAGTTACAAAGATGAACCAGTCTTCCACTTATTTGCCTCTTGCGTTCTTTATGATGAACACGTGCAAATGTATATCCTTAATGGCATACAGTACTGCACTAGTTTTAAAAATTACTGACATCTTGCATTAGCTGCATACAGTATAGACTAATCCGATTAGACATCATAACTGCGGTGTCACCACACTCACAGGCACATTCTTCAGCTTGACGCGCGCGTGCATTTGGTGAATCACGACACCCTGTTGGTCGAAGAGGCATGTAACGTGCGCGTACCACCTGTCTGAGAGCGTTGTGCCACGGCAGTAAAAATGGCTTCTAATTCTGGTGGTCGCTACCAGTATTTGTACATGTGTCAATGTACATTTACCCATACTAGTCATATTGACAATATTTTACCAGCAGTTTTAATTTGTTTGAACACTAAATGGTGATTCCCTAATCCACCGAGCCCTTCTAGGTTTAAGATACCAGAATGTACAAGTACCAGTGAGTCGACTTCTAGTAAACGATCTCCTTTGGGATAAATTTTGAATTACGGTATTTCACACGGACATCTAAATACCAGTATGGACAGACACAGAGATGGTCAGTCAGTTCTCTTGCACTGCAGAAAATTGCCTGGGAAGTACTTTCATCTGTGATAAGAGAAACAAGAAACAGTGGCCACATTCAGTCATTACCCATCTTTTGGTTGGATAGTTTTTGGCAGCTTGCTAATTTTCCCCAAATATTTAGCAATGCTTTGTAATGACTCACCCCAGTCTGCCCTGCATACATCAATATCTGTTGGGATCTTGTTAAATTTGTCACCAAATTTGTCATTTCAAACTGAAGTACATGTATTTATTGCGGAAAATTGGAAAAGAGTAGTTTTTCGAGGATAAAGTCATATTGTTCCAAATTTGGAACAGTACAGAATGGTCATTTTTGGAGAGGTCACAGTTGCCTGTGTTGACATAATCATGTCATTTTAACAGGAAGACTGACAGGTCTGGGAAACTTCTTTTCCTACCCCCTGTACTTACTTTGGCGCACTTCGAATGAACCGCTTCTGCATTTGATGGAAAACATGAGTTGTTAGAATTCACCCCCCCCCCATAATGACACTTCACTGTCCTTCCAGTAGTCTGGCTCATTTCAAATTCATTAATATCCAGTGTGCCCCATCATCGCCTTGTAGTCACATTCAGATCTACATACCCTAGTACCTGCACCTCGTGGTCTGTTCTCTCTCTTCCTGTTCAATGGAAAAGTACTGTTGACGTACGTCCAAGAACTAAAATGGAGTCTCAAGTCCTGAGTTTGATAGTGACCTCTGTCCAACACCTACCAGTACGTATTCTTGTGCCCCCCCCCCGCATGTGTTGACTTATCGTTCCGATCTTACTCCTGACAACTCGCGCAACAACAATATTTAGACTGCAAAATAGAATTGAAGGGAGGGGGGATGGACGAAGAAACAGGTGAGGATGCCGGCACTCGTCCATCAAGCACTTGTTTACAGAAGCAACAGCGTCTGAGACTATCCGCAGGAAAGTAAAAAGAGAAGGAACGAAGAAGACAGAATGCCAAAAAGGAGGCAGGAAAAAACAGTGATAACATCAATGAACGTGTCATTTTGAATTGTGGGGATGATTTTGCACAGACTAAACCATGGTGGAGATGACTTATCCTTAAGAAAGCAATTAGTCCTTCAGGGTAAACACGTATTAAAGATGGGCTGGTTTAGTCTGAGGAAGTTAATAATTCAACTACAGTGCAAAGCGTGGAGTGAACGTACAGTACACAATACATGTACATGAAAGTGGGGGTGTATTTGTGTATTTTGGATATGTTCACAATAACTACCGTTAAAGGACACGCTCTTCTGGGTCATTCTATTAACCGGGGGTCCAATTTTCTCGTCCCTGTTACATCTGGCGTAGGAATTTTTAATGTTTAGAACTCATTGTTTCATTTCCAAGACTGACTGAGTACTGCAAATTACCTCCCCAACAAATAAAAACAGTTTGAAATCGATTTTAGTGATACGTCTCTTGTCAAACATGTCAGATGGTATTACAAGTCAGAGGTCACAGGGACGGAAAAAAATTTCACACTTTGGACCCCAGATTTATAGAATGACCCATCTGCTACCTGTAGTTATGTACATATGTACCCTCATTAAATCAAAATATTGACCTGTAAGAACAGGTAAACTTAATAGATTATTTTTTTACTTATTGATACAGAGTACATGTATGGATACCACGTAGATGTGTACATAAAAATCTTACACAAATACCAGAGCTACATGTATACATGTGTCCCTACAAAATTTGCTCAGAGAAAATACATGTACATGTATACATGTACACACACCGGTTCACTTCCGCATCTTGCTTAAAGTTGCCATGTCGGTCTAGTCATGGTTACTTGTAGTACTTACTTGTACAAGTGCATCTTTGTCAAGTGTTGGTGCTCTGCTTTATTTCTATTTTTTGACAAGACCTCAGCAGGCTTGATGTACTCTACTGACATATTGACCGATTTACCGTGTGCGAGTATTCCGCGAATACAAATGTGCTTATGTGTATGTAATTAATATAGTTTGAACTCCAGTGCCTTTTTTTAAACATGAATATACATGATCTAGTACATACCAGTAAATGTCCACTTCGTCATCTATTGTAGTACTGTACATGTACAGTACATACATGTACCTGTACAGGTGTACATGTACATGTATGTTCATATACATGTACATGCCGATATGGTACATGTACATGCACATCTGGCAGTTTTCACATTATTTGTTTTTGCTCATATATATTGATTTAGACTTTTGCATATAGTTCGTGTTCCTTTAGGGACATGTACACATACATGTACATGTAGTGTGGTGCTGGGTACATGTACGTGTGTTGAAATTTCAGCCCAAAGTGTTAGCCATGCTGGGGAAGCACGTAAGTAATGCGTGCACACTTGTCATTTGTAATACGCCGGCGCGCATGGTTAGTGCTGTCCTGTAAGCTCTATCAATTAATTTTGCGAATGCTTTCTGATGCCGAATGCATAATCGCGGTCTGGTTTAAAACTCCCTTCAAATGGTTGGTGAATGACCTCTAGGTAAGAAATCCTTCACAGGTCTCTGACTCTCCTCGGTCAAGCAGTTCCAAATTAAAATGAGTGCAAGGAACACACATGATATTCTACATCAAGAAATGCATTTAACATATGGGTACATTTATACCAGTGGACTTAGTACAGCCTCCATTAATGGTGTTTCACAGAAATTGTTCAAGGTACGCACAGTAAATGTACATATACATGTGCATGTACAGTATGTGGGCTGTACATTTGGGATAAAAATTTTTGAACGTCCCTGTGACCGGGCATACATAGGATATCACACACACAGGTCTACTAAAATGTACACGACAAGACAGAGGTTAATGTACCGGTACAGTTAAAAAAGATATTCCTCAATAAGACA